AGAGACAAAGTCGGTCCAACACAAAAGACAAGGGCACGGAATATTTGCAGGCAGAGATGATGATCACAATAGGAGGAAACACAGGAATGACAGGAATTGGGACTCATTTGACGAGACACAACGTGTAAGACAAATGTGTAAATGAAGCAATAGTTAAAAATGGAAAAGGGAAAGTGCAATTTAGCCGGTTCTAAAGGAGACGGCGATGGTCAAAACGCACAGCGTTCTCTCACCTGACCACATTAGGGCAAAAGGGTAGAACCCCTCCATTTTAAAACGTAAACGTTTAGTTCTCAGACCCTGGATTTTCCCGCCGTTTTGGAAAAAAAAAAAAAAAACTAAAAATAAAAAAAAAAATTTGGAATGAAATGATTGCTTCTGAAATTGAATATAAAACATATACACATAAATAAATGGAATGCCTTAGTAACGCAGAGTTAAAAAGTTCTACGACGGGACCTGACCCCAAACCATCTCCGAAAAAAGGACTAAACCTCGTTCACATATAACAATGGACATCGTCGTTTGGTTGCAAAGTGAAAGTCGTGTCGTTAAAAAAAAGTCAAACTTCATCACGCAGACCCTAAGGAACTTCAGAAAGCACGGCCCCCGAACCACTCGGAACAGTCGGAATGCTAACGCAGGGTAATTCCATTTGCTCTTCGGCTCCCCCTCTTGAGGCTGATGAGCGCGTGCTGCTTTGATGTCAGTGCTGTGCAGTGGCAGAAAACAACCGCAGCGTCAGAACCAGAGGCCTGTCACTTAAAATATAATACCGTCAGATCTGTTACCTTGAAACTTGAAGCAATTAGCCGTCGTCGAGCAATAATGTATCCTGACATTGCTGCGCTGTGATGAAACCCCTAATTGCTCTGGAAAAAAAAAAATTGAAGCGTTTGACATCATCGCTGACAGACTTGCTTACCTGGCACCGTCACATGTGGTTGTGCAGCCATGTGTGAGGGCACCAGGCTGGAACCTGAAAGGTAGTGAGCGTTTCTGCCATCAACTGTCATGTCAGTTGACAAAAAGAGAGAGAGAGAGAGAGAGAGAGAGACGGAGAAGGGGATAAAGGTGGAAGCTGTCTGGATTTGCTGAAATGATGAGGCTATTAAATCTATGATGCGAGTTAGTGAGACTGTACATTTTAGTGGGCCCTGCCGCAGATGTCCATGGCCTTGTCTGGGCTCAGACTGTTTACAAGGTGACTGTAGCAAGAGGACCGCGCTGCCTTTCATGTCAACAAGACTGCTCTAAGCTCTCTGGTGGCTTTCCCAAACCACACATTATGGAGAAATGTGTTTACATTTTGACATTGTTATGAGATTCTTAAGAATAGTGGCATTAAAAATGTGTATGTAAAATTGGGATGGCGTTACTAAAATGGGAATGAGCAGAATTACAAACACTTTTGTTTAGTATTATTATTATTAATATTATTATTTTCAATAATAATATGGTTTTATTTAGGAGCATATGTGTTTTGGTGACTGAGTGCTTTTGTATGCAGTAAAAAAAAAAAAAAAAAAAAAACTTTCCCATGGTCGAAGAACGGGAGGGGGCACTGCGGCTACTTAATGAAAGGCAAATGCAAATAAAAAAAAAAAAAAAAATGAAAGACGCGATATGTTTACGTTCGAGACGAATCAAGTAGAAGGAAAAAAAAACACAAGCTTGTATTACAAATTAGGTGTAATATCACACCTGGGAAAACACTTTAGCACCTTCATTAAAATGAATCAGTGATAATTTGTACAACATATGTCACGTTATTTTTTTTTTTTACTTTTTACTTCATATTAAGTTTGCTTTTAGGATATTTTACCTCTTCCGCTGACGGTTTTCTACAAGTGAACGTCCCGCGTGGCGTTCAAGATGCAGACGAAATGATGCAAAAAAAAAAAAAAAAAAAAAAAAAGAGAACGAGAGAGTTTAATATAAGCATAATCATTTCAAATGAATGTTCCGCGTATACAAACCGGAAGAACCGACAGATAAATTCTGGCCCCGTTAATGTTCGGTGAAATGATAAAATTAGTAGGTCAATTGGTTGCATTTTGAACCCTTAATGTCGACGCTACTGAAACGGCTACTTGTAGAACTGAAGCTGTACTTTTTTTTTTTTTTTTGTGGTTAAAAGTTTCACCTTTTCCAAGATAACGAATAGCGCGATGGGAGGATAGAGGGCGGTTAAATTAGTGTTTAGTGAGCGAGCCATGATATGTGATAATGACAGGCCAAGGAGAGCAAGTGTTACCTTATTATTGTAAATGAAAAAGAAAAAAAAAATATCCCACCGAAGCGTCAGATGGGAAAAGGGTGGTTGGGGTGGGGTGGGGC